GGCTGCGGCTCCTTCCCAGCAGGACGCGCCTCCCGCTGCCCCGGCCACATGCGGCGCGGGTCCCCCGCGCATAGTCTCCCTCCTGCCGGGAAGGAGCAGCTGGACGTGCGCCGCATGTGCGCGGGGCAGGCTGGTGGGTGCTTCCCGCCGGGAAGGAGCCGCAGCCGCGAGCGGGAGGGAGAGGCGCGGGGCTCCCAGGCAGCAGCAGGGATTTGGCCCACGCCCCCACACCACCCACCTGGCCCCTGCCCGCTCCATGCTGCCCCCGACCAGACCCACCGCGCTGCCCTGCGGGCTGCAGCAGCCTCCAGGCTGCGCTCCCGGCCCCGGGTGCAGCAGCCCGGGCAGAAGCCCTCTAGCGCGGCGGGGGGTTCACAGCTGAGCCCCCCCCCCCCCCGTCTCCCTCCCTTGCCAGCTCCCCTTTGCCCGGGTGCCGGAGCTGACTCACCAGCTCCAGAATCCAGGCACCACCGCCACCCCCTCCCTCCAGGCTTGCGCTGCTATGCTGCAAGCGTGGGAGGGAGGAGGAATGCTGCGTGGTTGGGGAAGAGGTGGGGCCATGGCGGGAATTTGGGGAGGGAGCCAATGGGGGAAGGAGGGGGCGGAGCCGGGGTGGGGGGTGCGAGCGCCAGAGCGGAGGGCAAAATTTCTTTTTTGTCCAGTGTCCCGACCAAACATTGGTCGGGACGTGGGACAAAGAAGCAAATATCGGGACAGTCCCGATAAAATCGGGACATCTGGTCACCCTAGTACATACTGAATAATTGATTGGTTTACCAAATGTGTTAGCCTAACAATTTAAATTCTGAAAATTTTATTTTCCTACATATCAAGACATCCTCACTGTGTTGGCAACCTCAAGATTTCTCTTCAATCATTACAGTATAACCTCAGAATTACAAACACCTCAGGAATGGAGGTTGTTCATAACGCTGAACAAAATATTATGGTTGTGCTTTCAAAAGTTTACAACTGAACATTGACTTAATACAGCTTTGAAAATTTACTATGTAAAGAAACATGCTGCTTTCCCTTTTTTGTTAGTAGTTTATGTTTAACATAGTACTGTACTGTATTTGCTTCCCCGCCCCCATCTCTGCTGCTCCCTGATTGTGTACTTCCAGTTCCAAATGAGGTGTGTGGTTGACTGGTCAATTAGTAACGCTGGTGTTCGTAACTCTGAGGTTCTATTGTACTTGAAGGTGGACATGGAAATAATAGGAGTACTTGTGGCACCTTCGAGACTAACAAATTTATTAGAGCATAAGCTTTCGTGGACTACAGCCCACTTCTTCGGATGCATATAGAGTGGAATAAATTTATTCTCTGAGGTGCAACAAGTACTCCTGTTCTTTTTGCGGATACAGACTAACACGGCTGCTGCTCTGAAACATGGAAATAATATATCCATTTTTCTTCTTGGTAAAGAATGATTACAGGTTGATATCAATTCTTCCCATCACTCCTCAAGGGTCCTGGCAGCAGTTCAACTGCAGAGGAACTGACATGGACATTCATTTCACATGTGTGGAACATTAACATATTGGACACTACACTTCGATTGATTTATTAAGAAGAGGCTATCAACCAAATTCTGCTCTAGAAATCCTACTCAGCTTTCAGTTCCCCCTTTTGTTAACAGAACTGAGGCAGTTTCAAATAAGATTGCATGCTTTAACATGGGATTGTCCAGACTCTACCCACTTTGGTGTATTTAGTAGGTACAGCAGCCGCATTCAACCACCCACACTAAGTATATGGACCAAGCCAGCTCCCATGGACAAGTTCTCCTACCTTGTGTTCACATTTCTGGTCAATGGACAGTTTAATCCACTCGCTATCGTCTCCCATTGTGCCTCAGGTTCTCTCTATAGTTACAGTAATTCCTGGGGAGAGAAAAATATAGTTAACTCCAACAAGCCAGGCAGTTTCAGAAGGTGCTACATCTAGTTACAGTTTATTATTCCAACAGAAATAAAAGTGAAAATCCAATATTCCATAAGAACATTCTAATCCTTGTAGCTGAGGGTGAGTGGGAATTAAGCTAGCCATTACATTTAGGTACCCACCACTAAGACCATGCTATTTGTCTAGCCTTAGAAGAAAGACAACTAAACAGTTACAGGTTAAAGAATACTGATGCTGTAATCTGTTATATACCAGGGGATTGAAGCCTCAGTCTGGGAAAGTTTCAAATGGGAAATAAGACACGCAGAAGTCAGACTAAGTGTAGTGAGTTTGAGGAAGTTTTTTAAAAAAGCCAAAAAGGACTAGGTGCCTATCTACACTAGAAAGCTAGCTCATTGCTGACAAGAATTGTCAGCAACAGGCACCCTAAAAATAGTTGACTTGCTAGTATAAGGAGGACAGCCACTTCTAGGGACTTGACAAAAAAGCATGATTGATTTGAACAGTGCTGAAAGAGGGACAGACCCATTTATGCTAGCAGTCAAATTAGTTTTATCACTTGTTCAGAGGGACACAGAGCTAACAGTTGACAGCAGCAGGTCAATTTTTTAACTGTAGTTAGGGCTACAAATTCACATCCATTTAAATATTTCTAGAAGTTTCTTAACTCTAATAGGAATGGGTCACAGACAATCCAGACCCAATCCCCATCTTGGATGTATTATGTGACTAATCTGACTGCTCAGCAAATAAACCAAGGATACTGCTACAAGGGAGAAGAAATCAGCAGAATGAAAATTCAGCAGCAGGAAGGGAAGAGTTCCCAGGTTTCTGTATACAAACAGATGAAGTGAATCTGGAAAAGGGTCAACTTGAAGCGGTTGCAAAGAATCCAGAATAGCGACTAGGATGTGCAGAACAGGAAGAAGAGTAATAGATAATACTAGGTGGGCCATCTTCTAGAGTTACTTTATAAACGCAAGCACTTTTTTTTTAATTAAATCAGGAAGATCTACTCAAATACTCTCAGCTTCTATGGATATTGCTCAAGATTGTTCTCACTATGGATGCATAAACCAGCTAATTTGCACAGTCTCCACAGTGAAAGAGTCAACATTAGGCTTATGTGCAGAAAGTACAATCAAAGTAGCAAACCTATTCTAAAGTGTAACTATGTAATTTGTCTTTCCCAGTTTGCAAACACTGATGCGGTTGTTTTCTTCCTTTTCAGCAACAGCAGTTACTTAAGTGGTATTGAAAATAGGGCAAGTTTGGTTTTGCAGCAGCAAAGACAGAAATCAAACTTAAGATGCCAACAAAAATGGGGACCTGTCCTATTTAGTTAAAAAAAACATTAGAGTAATAATAAAGAGGCCATCCCCAGATCACTCTAAGATTCTATGCATAGGAGGGTGGGATGGCCAACAATGGCTGGGTTTACTATTCCCGTTGGCCAATTTAATTTAGATTATGGGCCAAATTTAGCCTTTTGTAAGTGGATACAACTCACCAATTTAAATGGGCATTTCACCTATTTATACCAGAGCTTAATTTCAGCCTACTGACCAAATTGTTCCCTTGGTACATAAGGTAGGATAAGCCATCAACTTAAACACAAAAAGGTACTCTGTATCTAAGGCAGAATTCAATCCTTGAAGTTTGTGTTAAAGGAGGTACCATTTAAAACAAAACAAAAAACCCCCACATACTCCACAGGAGAAGCACCATTAAAAAAACCCACACATCAAAGAGGTACGGTAACTCCTCACTTAAACTCATCCTGGTTAACGTTGTTACATTACTGATCAATTAGGGAACATGCTTGTTTAAAGTTGTGCAATGCTCCCTTCTAACCACTGCTTGCAGGAAGAGCAGCCCATTGCAGCTAGCTGGTGGGGGCTTGTAACCAGGGTAGACCAGCAGCCCCCCATCAGCTCCCCGCTCCCCTAACTTCCCTGTGCTGCACCCGCTCAGCAGGCTATCCCTCCCCCCACTGTCATGTGCTGCTCCTGTTCTCCGCCTTGGGGCTGCTCCCAGACTCCTGCTTGCTGTGCAGGGGGGGAGGGAGGGAGCTGCTAATGTCAGGGTGCCCCCCCCGCTCCTGCACCCCGCTTACCCCTTCTCTATATAGAGCAGAGAGGGGACACAGAGGGAGAGAGAGAGACAGAGAGCTTGGGGCAGCAGCTGCTGTCTCAACTTCCTGATCCACTTAAAAAGACAATGCACTTAAGAGTGGGTCAAGCTTACTTAAAGGGGCAGTGTGCATCTCTCTCTCCCACAAAAGGGGTGTGTGTGTGTGTGTGTGTGTCTGCTATGTGGTCTCCCCTCCCTCGTGTTCGTGCTGCCTTGTGTGAGAGGCTACATTAACAACGTGTTAACCCTTGAGGGCTCAGCTGAGTACTAGTTCATCATTTAGCAGCAAGGCATTCCCTGGGAAATATCCCTCCCTCTTCCACCCTCTAACTTCACCACCTCAACCAAGCTTCACAATCATCATAGCTGTGAACAGTATTAAATTGTTTGTTTAAAACGTATACTGTGTGTATATCTATATAATATATAGTTTGGTGAAAAAAATTTCCCTGGAACCTAACCCCCTTTATTTACATTAATTCTTATGGGGAAATTGGATTTGCTTAACATCGTTTCGCTTAAAGTTGCATTTTTCAGGAACATAACTACAACGTTAAGTGAGGAGTTACTGTAGTACAATAAGGTCAGTTTCACTAATGCACCTTCTGGTGTCAAAGCCCCTCTGTTTCAAGCCAGATCACCAGCATTCTGTAACTGAATTTGCACCCACATCTGACCTCTTCTCTTCCTACACCTTATACTGATCCCCCTCTTCCACCAAAATCTCTCTGAACTACCTGTTATTTTTCACCTACTCCTAAAAGTAGATTAAAGATAACACTGCACCCTGAGACTCTGCCAGCCTGCTGGCGCCCCCTGTCCCTTCCCCCCATCACTTGCTCCTCTCAGCCCCCTGGCCAGACCCCAGTGCATCTCCAGCTCCCCACTATCTGTGGGGCCCCAGCTGTCTCCCCAGAGCTGAGCCACCTCGGACTGGTGCAGAAGCCTGGCCAGTCTCGGCAGTCGGGTGGGGAGGGGGAAGCGCCGCGGGGAAATAGTGGGGGGGGGGCTTGGCTGGGCCCCTCCAGGCAAGTGGTGCCAGGCCCACAAAAGATTAATCCTGCCCTGCCAAAGACCCACATTTCCCACAATGCTTGTGTGTACTAAAGTAAGGGTTTGAAAAATACATTTACCAGTAACAAGTGGGAAGCTTCCCAAGTGTGTGAGGGATTGTTTCTAGCCCTTATAATTGTGAAGGTAACCATCCAGAAAGGAACCAAATGTAAACAGATGCAGCGTGGTCTTCCCCAAACTTCAGACAGCTCCAGTGTCTGCTACTCAGCATGCCTCTCCAATTTTTCAAGTATTGTAGGATACTCCGAAGGCCTCATTTGCAATTAAGGTTCTGCTTTTATTATCTGAAGACTTCTTACAGGAAGCATGTAAATGCCACCTCAGACTTTCTAACATCTAAATAGCAATTAGCCTCCATAGGGAACAATGCATGCTATACTAAGACTGCTTTATTACTAATAGATTTGCAAGAATGAAGTGTTTTATCTCTGGAACTTTCCCAACTAGTTTCACTAGTAAATAGGATGAAAGAAGTTCAAATAAAGAACAGATTCTAGTTCTTTCAAAGTCAATTGTTACAATTCAACACTATCCAAAAAATGAAAGCCTGCTAATCAACTGAAGAAAGTTTTGCAAGACTAGTTTGGTTTTGGCTTGATCAATAAGACATTTATAACTTCAAATCCCCAGATTCATTTGCAGAGATGAAAGGCAAACCCTCCCTAGCAACTCTTGGCTGGACAAGCTCCTATAATACATAGCAGTTGACCTATAAAGGATGTCAAGGAAAGGGGTATGTCTAAAGACCTTATAGATAGTTTATAGGCAAGAGAGGGGAGGAAAGATGTGGCAAGGGGAATTTTCTGCAATATTTATGAATCTTATGTGTGCCTCAGTTTCCCTCTGCACTTCACATTGTAAAAAAGTATGTCTCCCGGTCAGACAGCATAGAAGGCATGAGGTAGGGTATCATCTGGTTGTCATGAACAGGGTGATAAAACTGTCTGAAACTGACCTTGAATCAGAGCAACCAGCAAGACAAAGATGTCCAATGACTGAAGATCAAACAGCAGAAAACCCTGGGGAGACAGACAAGGGGGAGAGGGAGAGCAAGAGATGGAGTCTATCACAGCTTGGCTGGCTCATCATGGCACTGGTTTAACCTGGGTCGACTATGACTTAGATTAGCACAGAGAGGCAGAAGTTAAGGACTTTCAGCTTGTGTATGCGCCAGGTGACTAACATATGTTACCTTGTTTTGAAAAGGCTGCCTGTTTCACTGTAAATACACAATGAGTGTGTCATGCCCTGAAGGGGTACAGTACAAGCCTGGTGTGTCATGCCCTGAAGGGGTATAGTACAAGCCTGGTGCAGGACTCTGGCTTGGCTGGATTTACTGCAGAGAGCCAGAGAGAGAGATAGGAATACCTGGTGCCAAAGGCCTAGTCTCAGAGTCCTGGAGACTATGGGCCTGCCCATGTGGAACTCCATGGGTCCTTGGGGCCCAGCACACTAAATGGGCCCCTACCATGAGACTTGTTACAGGCTGGGGCACAGACCAGACCCTATGACTAACACAAGGCTAACACTTGGAGGATTCCAAGAGACATAAGAAAGTGTTAAAGTGGGAAATGCTGAGAGAACATTATAAAGCTGTTGACAAACTGCCCAAAGTTTGTGACATAATGAGGAAGAGGCTGTCAAGTGAAAGTTTGGAGTAACATTGAAGAGCAACAGTTGGCTGCCAAATTTAACTAGAAACTTAGGCCATGTCTATAGTAAGAGTGACAGTGTATTATACTGCCAAAGCGCCCCTAGTGTGGATGCAACT